TATTGCAAAAAGCAGACAGCGGGCATAGGCCGAATTTTCACATTAATCAAGGTCCCCAAACCTGTATCAACAAGATTATTTATTTATTTAAATTTTACTTATACTTTTCAGATAGATACATTTCACTTACTTTACAATCATTTGGATATTTCAAAACTTGACTTCCTCCCCCCTCTTTCTGCAGTTCTTAAATTTATATTTAATATCTTCTGCATATCCAAATTAACTTAACTTACTTATTTGTTTATCTTCTTTAAATATATACTCTTATGTAACTGCAGGTTATTACAACAATCCTGCCATTATTTTTACCTGTGTACAATTTATCTGTAAATATTCAATAAACCATTTCCATTCTTTTATAAAAAGTTTGTTATCTTGATTTCTTATTCTTCCAGTAAGTTTCGCCATTTCTGCATATTCCATAAATTTTTGTATCCATTCTTCCTTTGTTGGAACTTCTTTTTTTTTCCATTTTCCTTTTTGCCGTTGTAGTCGCATACACGAACAAGTTTCTATACAATTTAGGTAGTTCTATCCCTATAATTCCCAAGAAAAAGGCTTCTGGGTTGTTGTTTTTACAAACGTTATTTTAAACATCCTTTTCATTTCATTGTATATCATTTCCCAGTAAGCATTAACCTTACTACAAGACCACCCCATATGATAAAAAGAACCTTCTTTCTCTTTACATTTCCAACACCTGTATTGACAAGACTTGGCTAAGAAAATGGTTCCTCTGCAAGTATAGAATCACAGAACTGTAGAGTTGGAAGGGGGTACCAAAGGATCATCCGCATGAGGCAAAGGATCTGGTGCGGACTGAGATGCCACTGTATTCTGCTCTGGTCAGACCTCACCTGGAGTACTGTGTCCAGTTCTGGGCACCACAGTTCAAGAAGGACACTGACAAACTGGAACGTGTCCAGAGGAGGGCAACCAAAATGGTCAAAGGCCTGGAAACGATGCCTTAGGAGGAACGGCTAAGGGAGCTGGGCATGTTTAGCCTGGAGAAGAGGAGGTTAAGGGGTGATATGATAGCCATGTTCAAATATATAAAAGGATGTCACATAGAGGAGGGAGAAAGGTTGTTTTCTGCTGCTCCAGAGAAGCGGACATGGAGCAATGGATCCAAACTACAAGAAAGAAGATTCCACCTAAACATTAGGAAGAACTTCCTGACAGTAAGAGCTGTTCGACAGTGGAATTTGCTGCCAAGGAGTGTGGTGGAGTCTCCTTCTTTGGAGGTCTTTAAGCAGAGGCTTGACAACCATATGTCAGGAGTGCTCTGATGGTGTTTCCTGCTTGGCAGGGGGTTGGACTTCGATGGCCCTTGTGGTCTCTTCCAACTCTATGATTCTATGATTCTATGATTCCTCTGGTTCTGAGTCTGAGCCCGAGTCCCAGGCCATCACACTTGCTGGTTTCCCACAGGCAACTGGGTGCCCACGGTGAAAACAGGATGCTGGACTAGGTGGGGCATTGGCCTGATCCTGCAGGCTCCTCTTATTTTCTCACCAGCATCTCCACACTGGGCTGAGTCTCCCCAGTCAGTGCAGGAAAAAACAGACCTGGATGGAGCAATGGCTTGGCTCAGCCAAAAGCCACCCTGGTTGCCTTCTGGAGGCAGGGCAGGATAGACACTGAAGAAACAAACAAGGTAGTGTCCTATGTTCCTGAACTGAATGGAGAGCAAAAGCTGTGAATGGGCCCCATGGAAAACAGTTTTTCTTTTTTTTTTTTTTTTTTAAAAAAAAAGATATTTATTAAAGTTTCAGAAAAGGTTACAAAAATAAGAAAAAGAAAAAAAAGAAAAAAGAAAATACAAAATACAGAAAAATAAAAACAATTGAAAACAAATCAATCTTTCCATGTCTTGTCTTTCATTTACTTGTTTCCCTGACCTCCTCACACCTCCCTTTTTTGTATTCCAGTTCAGTTAGTTAATTCAGCAAATCCTTTCCCTCTTTGTTTTTATCTTAATCCTTTATCTTAATATATTATAACTTTAGATTCTCACCTGTTAACAATCCATTTTTACATACTCCTTTGTAACATTGCTGCTAAAACCACTTAACTTCATTCCAACATCATTCTAACATTCATTAATTTTGCAGTATTTCTGTAAATAGTCTTTAAATTTCTTCCAATCTTCTTCCACCGACTCTTCTCCCTGGTCTCAGATTCTGCCAGTCATTTCTGCCAATTCCATGTAGTCCATCACCTTCATCTGCCATTCTTCCAGGGTGGGTAGATCTTGTGTCTTCCAATACTTTGCAATAAGTCTTCTTGCTGCTGTTGTAGCATACGGAAAACAGTTTTTCACCCAAACTTTTCTTGTTCTCTGGAGCCCCTTGAGAAAGAGGTTCAAACCCTGAACCTCTGGGTCAAACCCTCAGATCAGACAGCTCCAGTTAGGAAAGCTTTGTACTACAGTGATACCTCGGTTTTCAAACATCTCAGAAGTTGAACATTTCAGTTTTCAAATGCCATAAACCTGGAAGTAAATGCTTCGGTTTTCAAACATGGCTTGGGAGTCGAACATGCCACATGGCTTCCACTGAGTGCAAGATCTGGAGGCCTGGCTGTCAGCTGTTGAGTTTTCGATTTTTGAATGTTTCAGAACTCGAAAAATTCCAAAGGGATATGTGAATTAAAGGAGAAATGTGTTATGAAAGTGAAAGAGCAGCTGTTAATAGCCCTGTGTACCATTGTTGGACCGTGTTCTCGAAGCTACAAACATGAGTTTGACCAAACTGAAGGAGGCAGTGGAAGACAGGAGTGCCTGGTGTGCTCTGGTCCATAGGGTCACAAAGAGTTGGACCCAATTAAATGACTAAACAACAACAACCATCCTCCAATGGCAACAAATCATTGGATCAGAATTTATAATGCATTATTACTCTTGATGGGGCAAGAATGCAACCAGCCAGTGGAGATCTAGCTACCAAATGCGTAACATACAATTGTCTGGCTGGCTGCTTTTGACATTCCTGGCCCAACTAGCCTTTGGTGCCAAGGAAGCCACTCAGAGAGCTGGCAAGGAGCCCCATAAACCTGCAAGGCTTTTAAAATCCCATTATGCACAATACACTGACTAATTTAGTGTGCAAAAAAAATGGACAAAAAAATTGGACGAAACACTGATGTGCTCAAACCCTTGCCCCCAATGGTAACCATTTTGGAATTTATCCTTGGAACCAATATTATTTTTGGGAGAGACTGGATGTTCATATATTTATATGAGCAGGCTTCAGATTATCCTCTTCGCCTGTTTTCTCAGAGGAGGAATTCCAGAATGACGTCTCTGAACCAAAATGGGTGGTTCAGGAAAGGTCTGCCAAACTAAGGCAGTTTTGACTATCCCTCCATCTTAGATGGGCCTGGGGAAACATTGGCTGTCCAAAAGTTATTGGACTATGACTCCCATCATCCCTGGTCATTGGTCACTTCTGGCTGAGGATTATGGGAGCTGGAATCCAGCAGCATGGGGGGGGGGGGTTTCAGGTTAGCCAACTGTCAGGTCTGTTGGTGATTGCTTGCAAGTAAACATTCAAGACTCCGACTTGTCTTTTGCAGGTTTTATTTAGTGCAACTATGTACAGTTCAGAGATCCAGAGTTCATGTCTGTCTGTGATGGCCTGGGAATCTGATTCAGAGGCTGAACCGGAGGAATCCCAGCCTGCACAGGAGTCCCCGCCTCCAGGGCCGGCTGAGCCGGGGCAGGGCCTTGAATCTGAAGGGCCCTCACCTGTGCCGGATCCTCAGGAGCAGACACCAGCTGAATCCACTCTGGCTCCGGAGGTGATTGAGGACCCATTGCCTGCAGGTGTCCTCTCCCAGCCCTGTCAGAGGAAGGTGAGGTTGCCTCTGGGTCCAGTAACCCTCCAGCCTCTCCTGAGCTGCAGAGGCTCAGGGCAGCGAGACGGAGGGAACAAAGTTCCCGCAGGAGGAGTGCTTGCCTTAAGGCCAGGAGAGGCGAGTCACCTGTGGACCGGGACTGCCCTATGCCTCAGAGGAGATAAAGGCCAGTCAGCCCAGTCCCAGGTTGCGGGAGCAACGACATTGGAAACCTGTTTCTGTGAGCACCCAGACCTGTTTTTCCAGAGTTCCCAACCATGCCCGGCTTCTTGCTTTGGACCCCGCTTCACCCTTGGTGAACAGTCTCCAGACCCTCGGCCCAGGACCGGACTTTGACCACGCCTCACGGTAACACCCCCCCCCCCCCGGGACCAGCACACTGTCTCGTCACTTGCAGATTCCGGGAGTGGCTTTTTCCGGTCCGTCCCCCCAGCATAAGAACTTAGACACACCCACACACACGAATCTCCGCCTCCCCTTCTTACGTTTCATACCTCTGCAAAAACTGGGCGACAGAAGCTGCATGTTTGTCTCCTGACCAGCCTGGCTGAGCGAGGTGCTTTGGCTCACAGTAAAGTCTGTGAGCCTCTGCCTCGCTTCGCCCGAGGCGTCACTCTCTCCACTGCCCAACGAAGTACTACTGCTCAGCAACGTTGGAGGTTCCCTGTTCTCTTCTGCCCCCCTCCCCCCTTTCAATGGCAGTACCCTGACACCAACCTTTGATCAAAACATCTTCCCTTTACAGGGCCTATTAGTGGTTTGTCCCTCATAGTCTAGGCTTGACACAACATCATTCTAAAACAGTATTTCTCAAAGTGGGCAGTATTGCCCTCTGAAGGGCCGTGAGTTTGCCCAGTTGGGCACTCAGAGGCAAGAGGGTGGCAGGGGGGCAATGGAGGTGTAAATGACTCTCAGATCGTTGGATCAAGTTCATCATTTTTGTGGAATTAGCCGAACCAAATACTTTCCATTGGCTGTGAATAAATGGGCAATTCGTTGTTACTGTCTTGAATTTTATTGTGTTATTATCTCCCGCAAACCACTATTCTGAAGATTATTTTTTACAGGGTAGAATCACAGAATCGCAGAGTTGGAAGGGACCATGAGGGTCCTCTAGTCCAGCCCCCTGCAATACAGAAAGATTTCGCCCAATGTGGGGATTGAACCCACGACACTGAGTTCAAGAGTCTCCTGCTCTACCAGCTGGAGGCTGAGTTTATGAAACCAAGGAGGGGTGGCCCAAAAGAGTTTGGGAACTGATCTAAAATGGTATGGTTTGTTCAATCTCTGATTCTGGAAGGGAGAAGTCCTCCGTTTCATTGTAGTAGCTCCTGGTTCCCTTCCAGGTTCGTCCTGTATTACTTCTGCGTCACAAAACTAGGTGTGTGTGAGAGTGGGTGTGTGGCACTAACGGAAGCTCCCCTCCTGGAGCACATTGCTGTAAAGTATGCACAAATGCTCCAGGAGGAGGTCATGAGGCATCCCAGGAGACCACCATAACTGTTCCGGAACATGGAACGCGAGGAGGAAGGGGACAATTTGCGGGTAGACCTCCAAAGGAAGGAAAGGAATATTCCATCGACAGCTTCCAATGTGGGTGTGATGTGTGGCTCTGCTCTTCAGCCGAGGGTGGCTAACTGGAAGCGAGCAGCGACTTAATTGCAACTTGCTAATTCCCGGTTGTTAAGGACAGTCGTATAAAAGACCGAAAGAGAACGAGGTGGGGGAAAAGAGAGAGAGAGAAAATAAAGAGAAAGAAAGGCAGCCTGGTGTTAACACGCAGCAATTTACACCTCCTGTCCAGATCATAACTCTTGGCCTCTGGTGCCTTCCACACTCTTGAGATTTATGGCCGATGGCCCCAACGCGGTCGAGAAATGGCAAGGCACCGAGACCTTGCGGTGAGATGGACTGAGGTTAGAAAAAACAAAATGGGAGCTTAATTTATGGGAATGCTTCTTTGGACAGGAACCCCAGGCCAAGCACAGCTCTCTTCTAGTGGAAAAAAGGGGTTGCAAAGCATTTCCTTATTCATTCTGTCTAGGGGAATATATCGTGGACTTTCTCCCTCATCTCATTCTGCTCTTTTCCTTTCCTCTGCAGAGCCAGCATGGCGTAGTGGTTAAGAGCGGTGGACTCGTAATCTGGTGAACCGGGTTCGCTTCCCTGCTCCTCCACATGCAGCTGCTGGGTGACCTTGGGCCAGTCACACTTCTTTGAGGTCTCTCAGCCCCACTCACCTCACAGAGTGTTTGTTGTGGGGAGGAAGGGAAAGGAGATTGTTAGTGCTTTGAGACTCCTTAGGGTAGTGATAAAGCGGGATATCAAATCCAAAGTCGTCGTCTTCTTCTTCTTCTTCTTCTTCTTCTTCTTCTTCTTCTTCTTCCCATTGGTACTGACTATGAGGGGCAGTTGGTTTCTCCTATAGAAGCAGGTGGCGCCCATTCACCAAAAGAGCGCAAGCCAGCGATGGGGGACTTGTGGTTCTCCAGCTTTTACTGGGCTACATCTCCACCATCCCTGACCACTGTCCTTTCTAGGTGGTGCTGATGGGAGTTAAGGACATTAGTTAAAGTCCAACATCCATAGAGCCACAGGTTCCCCATCTCTGGTGTGGAGACTCTGTAACAGTGACAGCATCCTGATAATTGGGGTCACCAGCTGCTGGTATGGAGTCTGGGTTTTTCTCTCCCCATCCCCAGCTCCCAGAAGCAGAGACTTAGGATGCTCCCCTATGCTATAGCAGGCTAGTCCTACTCCGACTAGGCCAGATTTGTCCCTGATGTACTTCCCCCCATATTCTACCAGACTCCAAGTCCCATCAACCCTAGTCAGCATGGCCACTGGCTGGGGATGGGGGAATTGTAGTCCGTCTGACAGTGGCAAGAGTACTGTTAGCCCAGAAATGGAAGCAAGAAGAAATTCCGACAAAAGAAGAATGGCAGATGAAATTAATGGACTATGCAGAATTGGACAAAATGACAGGAAGGATTCAAAACCTGCAGAACCAGAGATTTACAGACAATCGGAGGAAGTATATGAATTATTTGAAGAGCAACTGTAATCAACAAATTACGCTAGTAGGACTACAAGAAGTTTTGTAAGGAGAAATATATGAAGTGTTACAAGGTAGAAAAAGATAGAGATATTGGTTATGCGTTTGAAATGTAATAGGGAAAATAAGAAATGCATGCTAAGAGATTAGATTGGAAAATTTTCAGACAGGACTGATGGAAGTCCAAAAAAATTGAATAAGATGTAAAAGTATGTTTAATTATTGTTGAAAATGGTGTGTTAAAAAAAACCTAATAAAAATTAGCAATGACAAACCTAGACAGCATCTTAAAAAGCAGAAACATCACCTTGCCAACAAAGGTCCGTATAGTTAAAGCTATGGTTTTCCCAGTAGTGATGTATGGAAGTGAGAGCTGGACCATAAAGAAGGCTGATCGCCAAAGAATTGATGCTTTTGAATTATGGTGCTGGAGGAGACTCTTGAGAGTCCCATGGACTGCAAGAAGATCAAACCTATCCATTCTGAAGGAAATCAGCCCTGAGTGCTCACTGGAAGGACAGATCCTGAAGCTGAGGCTCCAATACTTTGGCCTCCTCATGAGAAGAGAAGACTCCCTGGAAAAGACCCTGATGTTGGGAAAGATGGAGGGCACAAGGAGAAGGGGACGACAGAGGACGAGATGGCTGGACAGTGTTCTCGAAAGGTACCAACATGAGTTTGACCAAACTGCGGGAGGCAGTGGAAGACAGGAGTGCCTGGCATGCTCTGGTCCATGGGGTCATGAAGAGTCGGACATGACTAAATGACTAAACAACAACAACAATATTTAAAAAAAGAATTGTAGTCCTTCTAAAGGACACCACCCGAAGGCTACCCTAAAGATTGATCCATAATAGAGCCATAGAATTGTAGAGCTGTAACTGTGGGTTAAACCACTGAGCCTAGGACTTGCCGATCAGAAGGTCGGCGGTTCGAATCCCCGCGACAGGGTGAGCTCCCGTTGCTCGGTCCCTGCTCCTGCCCACCTAGCAGTTCAAAAGCACATCAAAGTGTAAGTAGATAAATAGGCACCGCTCCGGCGGGAAGGTAAACGGCGTTTCCGTGCGCTGCTCTGGTTCGCCAGAAGCGGCTTAGTCATGCTGGCCACATGACCCGGAAGCTGTACGCCGGCTCCCTCGGCCAATAAAGCGAGATGAGCGCCACAACCCCAGAGTGGGCCACGACTGGACCTAATGGTCAGGGGTCCCTTTACCTTTACCTTTAAGGTACCCCAAGGGTTTCCTAGTCCAACCCCATGCAATGCAGGAATCTCAGCTAAAGCATCAATGGCAGGTGGCCATCCAATGTGTGCTTAAACTTCAGGAGGTTGAACTAGACGAGCCTTGGTTGGGTTGCACTGTTAACAATGGGAAAGGGTCCTAGTTCTGTGTCAGAGTGACTGTTTTGCACGCAGAAGGTCCCAGGTTGAAACCCCCAGCATCTACAGGTTGGTCAGAGAAAGAGAAATCCCTGCTTTCAACCCTGGAGAGCCACTGCTGGGCAAGGCAGACAAATGGTCTGACTCAGTCTAAGGCAGCTTCCTGTGTTCCTATGCTGTTTCACCAACTGCAGTTAAAAACAAGCTTCTCACTGTGGATCCCAGGACTCTCTAAGCTTTCAAATGTCTGCAGCATCAACTGTCTCCAAAGAAACTCACGGCTGGCTCTTGTTTTGCAATATTTCCTGAGAAACGAACTGACCAGGGAAATAACGCAAGGTGGGGAGGAGGAAGGAACTTTGGTTTTGATGGACAGCTCTAGCTTCTCATCACATTGAACTGCTTTCTCCAGGACCTTCCAATCACAGCGATTTGTGGGGGGAGGGATTTTAATAAAAACATTTTTTTTAAAAAAAGGAAAGGAAAGGGATTTAAAACAGTCTGCTTTCCATGCGGGTCTATGGCTTCCCGCACTCCAGTCAAATTGCATTGCCAAGCACAGAGTTAAACTATGGAACTTGGGACCCACAGCAGACAGTGATGGGTACCAAATTAGATAGCTTTCAAAGAGGATTGGATGAATTCATGAAAGAGAGGGCTATTGATGGCTACTAGGCTACTGATGGGACACGGGTGGCGCTGTGGGTTAAACCACAGAGCCTAGGACTTGCTGATCAGAAGGTCGGTGGTCCGAATCCACGTGACGGGGTGAGCTCCCGTTGCTCGGTCCCTGCTCCTGCCAACCTAACAGTTCGAAAGCACGTTAAAGTGCAAGTAGATAAATAGGTACAGCTCTGGCGGGAAGGTAAACAGCATTTCTGTGCGCTGCTCTGGTTCGCCAGAAGCAGCTTAGTCATGCTGGCCACATGACCCAGAAGCTGTACGCCGGATCCCTCGGCCAATAAAGCGAGATGAGCGCCGCAACCCCAGAGTCAGCCACAACTGGACCTAATGGTCAGGGGTCCCTTTACCTTTACTTTAGGCTACTGATGGCTACTGATATTTTTAATGTATTTTTAAATCTTTTGTTGGAAGCCGCCCAGAGTGACTGGGGAAATCCACCCAGATGGGCGAGTGTGACATTAACATATGAGAGTGCTGGAGGTGAAATAGTTAAACAAGTTACCCAATCAGAACCCAGGGGTGGAGTCAGAGGGACTATAAAACCGGCTCTGGGAGGGGTGCGAGGGAGGAGTTCGTTGGGAGTTGGATGGTTGGTGGGAGTGGGACTGAATTGGGATAGAGTTTGTGGGTAGGTTGAGTTAGTGTAGCGAAATAAGCTGAGTCAGGATCAGTTAGGAGCTCAGAAGACAAGTAAATATCTGAGAGGTGGTTTAGTGAGTGAGAGCAAGTAGCGGAAGTTATAGGTCTTGATAGGCACCCCATGATTGTAATTGTCCGATACCGTTTCTGAAACCACATGCTTGTTAAACTGCAATAAATAAACAGAAGTTTATGTTCCAATTTAAATTGGTTTTCCCAGTAGTGATGTATGGAAGTGAGAGCTGGACCATAAAGAAAGCTGATTGCCGAAGAATTGATGCTTTTGAATTCTGGTGCTGGAGGAGACTCTTGAGAGTCCCATGGACTGCAAGAAGATCAAACCAATCCATTCTGAAGGAAATCAGCCCTGAGTGCTCACTGGAAGGACAGATCGTGAAGCTGAGGCTCCAATACTGTGGCCACCTCATGAGAAGAGAAGACTCCCTGGAAAAGACCCTGATGTTGGGAAAGATGAAGGGCACAAGGAGAAGGGGAGGATGAGATGGTTGAACAGTGTTCTCGAAGCTACCAGCATGAGTTTGACCAAACTGCGGGAGGCAGTGGAAGACAGGAGTGCCTGGCGTGCTCTGGTCCATGGGGTCACGAAGAGTCGGACACGACTGAACGACTAAACAACAACAAAAGGACTCAGTATTGTACCAGGTAGGGCCTGGGTGGTGGCAGCGAGAAATAAAGTGGTGGCACAGGGATCAATAGACGGTGAAACGTTCGGAGACCCTGTGTGATCGCCACAGAGAGGTATTAATAATAATAATAAGTCTGATGTTTATGCTCCGCCTGCAGTGTCAGAGGCAGCAATGAATACCAGTTGCTGGAAACTGTAGAAGTGGAGAAGGCTCCTGTGCTTGAATCCTGCTTGCAGATTTTCCCCAAGCATCTCTTTGTCCACTGTGAGAACAGGATACTAGATTGGGAGGGCCATTGGCCCAGCCCAGCAGGCTCCTTTCACGTCCTTATGTCCTTTCTCACTTCAATATCCCTCCTCGCTTTTCCATATGGCCAAACAGAGAGTGTCAGCTGAGGCCAAGGCTGGGTGTGTTAAGCCTCTGAGACAACAGCCCTCTCGCCTCTCCCTGCTGTGAGAAAAGGCGCTATCAGTGCGTCTAAAGATAGACGCCTGTGCCGTGAGTGACGGGATAGAGATAGGCTTTGTTGCTGTTGCGTTCTGATAAAGCCCCGCCCTTGGATCCCTCTTCTTGGAAAGCTACAAGAGTGCCAAAGGAGATGATGGGCTGTACGGCTGAGCCTGTTGAACTGCGGTGGGTATTTTTGATACTGAGAGAGGGTCAACAAGAGTACCAAGCCAACAAGGACCCGGGGAGCCCTGTAGGCAAGAGTTGTGACTGGTACGATTTAATATTTGCATCCTGCTTTCCTAACCACAACGCTGAGCTGAGAGCAATTCACAATAATAACTGCGGCATTAAAAATGAGTTAATGTTACAATCACTATAATCCTATCAAGAGCACAGTGGCGTATAGATAAGACTAAAACCAAATTCATCAAGCAGTTAATACAATTCAATATACAGTGGTACCTTGCTTTACGAACTTAATCCGTTCCTGAAGTCCGTTCTTAAACCAAATCCATTCTTAAACCAAGGCGCACTTTCCCTAATGAGGCCTTCGGCCGCAGGTGCCCTTCCACCGTTCAGATTCTGTTCGTAGACCGAGGTAAAGTTCGCAAACCGGGACACTACTTCTGGTTTTGCAGAGTTCGTAAACCGAATAGTTTGTTAACAGGGCTGTTCGTAAACTGAGGTACCACTGTAAACTCATACAGTTGTACCTTGGTTATTGAACGGCTTAGCTGCTGAACAAATTGACTCCCAAACGCCGCAAACCTGGAAGTAAGTGTTCCAGTTTGCAAATGTTTTTCAGAAGCTGAACATCCAAGACGTGGCTTCCGGCTTGAGTGCAGCCAATCGAAAGCCAAGCTTTGGTTTTTGAACATTTTTGGGAGTCGAACGGACTCCTGGAACGGATTAAGTTCGAGAACCAAGGTACCACTGTAGTGAGTTCAAGAGGAATTTCTTTGAGGGGGAGAAGGAAACGCTACAAGTAAAATCCTGAAATTGAGCTTCATGGTTTGCAGACACTGAAGCTTTGGTGAGCTTTAGCGTTTGCAAGGGAGCGTCTTTTGTTGCTGAGGGTTCTCAGGAGTGTTCTAGAGCAGACACACCATCAGGGCAGGATTTTGGGAGCAGAAATCTAGCAGAAATAGCAGGTGGTCCCTGCCCTCCAGTGCGGCTGGACTGGCGCACCAGATTTTGAAATCATTTTTTTTTAAATAAAATATTTATTAAAGTTTAGACATTGCAAAAAAAACAGAAGAGAAACAAGAGAAAAATATAAGCAATAAACAGTTACAAAACCTCAAAGACAAAAAATAAATACAGTAGTACAAAACATCAACAATACAAAAAAAAAGAAAAAAGGGGGGGAAAAGAACCCAAAAAAGAACAAACAGACATACAAAAGAACCACATGTTTTCATATCCTTATCTTTCATTTGCTTATTTCCTCGACTTCCTCAAACCTCCTTTTTTGTATTCTAGTTCAATTAAATATTCCAGCAAGTCCTTTCCCTCTTTCACAAATTTAGTTCCATAATTTAACTTAACGCAATTTTAAATTTAAATTTACCTCTTTACCCAATATCAATCTATTCATACTTGATTCTTTATAATATTTCTACTAAAGTCATATAACTTCTTTCCAGCATCTTTCTAACATTCATTAATTTTAGAATATTTCTGTAAATAAGTTTTAAATTTCTTCCAATCTTCTTCCACCGACTCTTCTCCCTGGTCTCGGATTCTACCAGTCATTTCCGCCAATTCCATGTAATCCATCAGCTTCATCTGCCATTCCAGATTTTGAAATCAGAGGGACAATGCATAATGATCACCTAAGGAGGATTAGGTGGAAATAAGATTAGTAGAAGTGCTATTTTTCTCAAAAAAGAAGTGCCAGAACTCACCATGAACGCCTCTCCTGTTCTCTTAGAGTGGCAATGGTGCCCACCTGAGAGGGGATGGAAGTGATTGCCAGAGATTTCCGACTGAACCCCTCACCCCGCCATCTAAAGTCTAAGGTTGCATATGCATTATTCTTTATGCCATCTCCAAGACCTTACTTGGAAAATCAATACAACCCAGGTGGTTAAGAAAGCCCAACAGAGACTCCATCTCATCAGAGTATTGCGAAAGAACGATGTCAATCAACATTTGATGATCTCCTTCTACCGGTCCACAATAGAAAGTGTCCTTTCCTACTGCATCACGGTGTGGGACGCTGGTTTGACATCAACTGATAGGAAGTGCCTACAGAGGGTGGTGAATACAGCACAAGATATTATGGGCTGTCCCATGAATCCGCTGGATGAAATAGCGGAAGAACGTTGCCTCAGGAGAGTCAGGAAAATACTCAAGGATGATTCACACCCTGGCCGGCACTTTCTTGATCTCCTGCCCTCGGGCAGAAGATATAGAAGCAGGATTAGTCGCACCAACAGGGTAAAGAACAGCTTCTATCCGTGGGCTGTTAGGCTGCTGAATTAAAAGATAACAACAGGGCAACTGACTTTCGGGTTTGGTGGGTGTGCGTCAGCAAACGAGGGGAATTAAGACTAAGAAGGCTGAGTGGGGGGTGCTCGTGTCATCTCACTGTATACAAGTCGTACAAGAGACAATAAAGTATTTCAATTTCAATTTTACATTCCTGCCGTTGCTGCTTAAGAAGGGAAGAAGAGCCTGCAGGATCAGGCCAATGCCCCATCTAATCCAGGAAACCCACAAGCAGGTCCTGAGCACAAGGACCTTCTCCCCTCCTGTGGTTTCAAGCAACTGGTGTTTGGAAGGCATTACTTGGTGTGTAGCCAAATCGGTGGCCATCAACTAATTTCAATCTGTGTTGATGAAGGATAATACAGGTGAAACTCGAAAAATTAGAATATCGTGGAAAAGTTCGTTTATTTCAGTAATTCAACTTAGAAGGTGAAACTAATATATGAGATAGACTCATGACATGCAAAGCGAGTTATGTCAAGCCTTTATTTGTTATAATTGCGATATTATGGCGTACAGCTGATGAAACCCCCCAATTAACAATCTCAGAAAATTAGAATATTGTGAAAACGTGCAGTAGCTGTTCAATCCATAACACCTGCAATGGGTTCCTAAGCCTTTAAATGGTCTCTCAGTCTGGTTCAGTAGGAAGCACAATCATGGGGAAGGCTGCTGACCTGACAGTTGTGCAGAAAGCCATCTTTGAGAACCTCCATAAGGAGGGAAAGCCTCAAAAGGTAATTGCAGAAGAAGTTGGATGTTCCCAAAGTGCTGTATCGAAGCACATTAATGGAAAGTTATGCGGAAGGGGAAAGTGTGGAAGAAAAAGGTGCACAAGCACCAGGGATGGCCACAGCCTGGAGAGGATTGTCAGGAAAGGACCATTCAAACATGTTGGGGACTTTCACAAGGAGTGGACTGAGGTGGGAGTTAGTGCATCAAAAGCCACCACTACAGGCCCATCTAATCCAACATGCTGTCCTCATAGCGGCCGGCCAGAAGTTTGTGGGAGGTCCACAAGCAGAACCAGAGCTGAGAAACCTTCTCCCCACCTGCAGTTCCCAGTAATGGGTATTGAGAGGCGTGCTGAGACCACAGCCATGCGGATGTAGCCTGATGAAACGCTCATCACCAAACATCATATTATTCACCAGCAAATCCCCAATGCAACAGCGTTAAGTCTACACCCCATCCATCCATCCAGCCCCGGGCTTTGCCTGCTGAGAAACGATCACATGACGTCAACTTGTGGGTACGCTTTTGGGCCCAGAGATATTTTTGCTGATGGGCTGTTCCAGCTGCTGCTTCATTACTCATTCTCCCCGCAGGCTTCCCCTTCTTCGCCAGGGGCCATTGTCTTGTGTTTGTGACATCACAGCTGGTTGCCGTGGGAACCCCTGATGATGTCACAGAGGGAGAATTAGCACCTATTAATGTGAACGAGCCCAGGGAAGGCATGAATAATGGGAGAGAGACCCAGCTTGGACACAAATTGCTAGGGAACGTTGTTGGACAGGAAAGCGGCTTGAAAGGTAAATGGGGATTTTTATATTGAAATATTATGTTTTCATTACGCTTGGACGGTGAACAAAAGCTCATATTTGAGTAATAAAATTATAAATGCCAGAGTGAGAACAGCTGTAGGATCGTGAAGGGGTTTTTTTCCATGCAGGGCAAGCCAGAAGTTATGATTATCATTTCTTTTAATGTGTATGACAGAGAGAGAAAGAGAGTGAGAGAGACCTTCAGCAGAGCAGGGAGTCTCTATTGCTCAGCACTGGGAAGGCTTCTAAAAAGGCCAGGCTGAGAGATTAAGAACTGCCACAACTGATTAGGGCTATCACCTTGGAAGCTCAACAGGTTGCTAGGGAAAGGTCCGTAGCTCAGGCGCAGAACGTCTGCCTTGAATGAAGAAGGTTCCAGGTTCTATCCCAGCAATCTCCAGGTAGAGTTGGGAATGTCTCCCTTCTGAAATTTGGGGGAAGTTGCTGACAGCCAGTGTCTTGGCTCCCACCCAAACCACAAGAATAAGGAAGAGATCTTTACTGAGGCAGAGAAAATTTACAGGCTCAGCAATAGGTGAGGAGTCGCAGCAGCCACTACGCTCAGGGTAGGTGGCAGGAAAGATGAGGCTAGAAACGGCTGTCTCCATTTAAGGCAGCGGTTCTCAACCTGTGGGTCCCCAGATGTTGTTGGACTACAACTCCCATCATCCCTGAGCTCTGGCCTTGCTAGCTAGGGGTGATGGGAGTTGTAGTTCAACAACATCTGGGGACCCACAGGTTGAGAAAGGCTGATTTAAGGAGCCTGAGATCAGGGCAAAGACTGATTCAGAACGGCACGGAAGCGACAGAGATGTCCCAACGAGTTGGGATGCCTACCTTCCAAGCTTGTAAAGATGTGGCAAGGCCAGCTCACTCCAGAGACTCTTGTGCCTTGTGAGATTTTAGAGCATGCAGGTGCTTGCTGTGTGCAACAGCTATGCCTCTTGCCTTTTGTACAGTAGCCACGGAACTGTCAGAATCATAGAATAGTAGAGTTGGAAAGTTCACCTAGTTCCATAGCTGTCAAGTGTCCCTTATTTGGCGGGACAGTCCCTTATCCCAGTGCCATGTCCCGCTGCTGTCCCTTATTGATGAGGCTTCATTTGGCTGCTGGCTGGGCTTTCTGCCTTTGGCTCAGAGGGGCTCAGAAGTTGAACATACCTGTGCCCGGAAAATCCCTTATTTTGGCTGCTGATCCCTTATTTTCAAGGCTGCTGGTCCCTTATTTTCAAATCTGTAAGTTGACAGCTATGTCTAGTTCCACCCCCTGCAATGTAAGAATCACAGCTCGACAATCCCTGGCAGATGAACATCCAACCTCTGCTTCAAAACCTCCATCATCATCATCATTTTTAATTTGTATACCGTCTTTCTATCTTACAATACTCAAGGTGGTTCACAAGCTGAAGAAACAAAAAATGTACATCTTATAAAAATCTACAGTCCTACCTCGTGTTACAGACGCTTCAGGCTGCATTTTTTTGGGTTGCGGACCGCCGAAACCCAGAAGTACCGGAACGTGTTACTTCCAGGTTTCGGCGGTCGCACATGCGCAGAAGCGCTAAATCACGCTTTGCACATGCGCAGAAGCACCGAATTGCAACCTGCGCGTGTGCAGATGCGCCGCTGCAGATTGCGAACGTGCATTCCGCACTGATCACGTTTGCAACCCGAGCGTCCACTGTACTGCAATACAAAAATGTGATAATAAAACAAAACTTTAAAATAAGCAACCTACATCAAAAATTAACATTCAACAATCATTAGAATAGTATAAAATAATAATATCAACATCTAAAAGTTAAAGAGAAATCCACTCAGCAGTTCCAATAAATAATTTCTAAACTATAATCAGCAAAACAACGGCAAGCCACAGTACATAAAATAATACAATACAAATTGAGAAGCAGAGACTAGAGGTGGAAGAAGGCCTTGCCTGACAATGTCTCTCCCCTCCCCTCCATGACCTAAGAAAGTCCATTCCACTCTTGACCAACTTACCATTAGAAAGTTCTTCCTGATGTTTCATGGGAATCTCCTTTCTTGCAATTAGGTTCTATCATCTTGAGCGAGTGGAAGACACACATTTGCAATCTTAGTGAGACCAGGATCTTCACAACTAGATGCTCTTAAGCAAAAAATGGGTTCATAAGATGAAACCAGCTGCTGGATCAAACCAAAGCCTGTGGTGTTGAGCATCTTGTTCTCATTATTGGCCAACCAGATGCCCCAATGGGAAACGCACATGCAGGACATGAGCACAACAGCTTAGGGTCCTTGTATTTATGGGATCACCTCTCCTGGTATGCCCCACAGAGGACCTTAAGGTCCATGAATAACCATAGTTTAGAGGTCCTGGGCCCTAAGAAAGTCAGACTATCCTCCACCAGGGCCAGGGCCTTTTCAGTGATGGCTCCGACCTGGTGGAATGCTCTGTCCCATGAGACCAGGGCCCTGCAGGATTTAACCTCTTCCGTCGGGCCTGTAAGACAGAGCTATTCCACCTGGCCTCTAATTTGAATTTAGCCTGATCTTTTATTTCTCTTCTCTTCCCTCCCCCTCCCCTTTTATGAAGATCACCCACTCTGAGACCCCACAGCTAATTCTCCCCTGGCCTCCTCGCTGGCCCAAGTAGGACCAATTCAGCCAGCTAGCCCTGGGGATTATCTAATTGATTTTTTATTTTTGAATTTTATTGTTATTCATGTTTTTATACTGTATTTTATACTGCTTTTATAATTAAGTGTTTTAAATTTGTTGTTAGCTGCCCTGAGCCCGGTTTTTGAACTGGGAAGGGCGGGGTATAAATTAAAACATACATTTATTTATTTATTTATTTATTTATTTTATTTACAGCGCTCTCCCCACTTGTGATTTCCAGCAACAGGTATTCAGAAGCATAGTGTCTCCAACAGTGAAGGTAAAGGTAAAGGGACCCCTGACCATTTAGGTCCAGTCGCGAACGACTCTGGGGTTGCGGTGCTCATCTCGCTTTATTGGCCGAGGGAGCTGGCGAACAGCTTCCGGGTCATGTGGCCAGCATGACTAAGCCATTTCTGGCGAACCAGAGCAGCGCACGGAAACGCCGTTTACCTTCCCGCCGGAGCAGTACCTATTTATCTACTTGCACTTTGACGTGTTTTCGAACTGCTAGGTTGGCAGGAGCAGGAACTGAGGAATGGGAGCTCACCCCATCACGGGGATTAGAACTGCCAACCTTCTGATCAGCAAGCCCTAGGCTCTGTGGTTTAACCCACAGCGTCACCCACGTCCCAACAGTGGAGGTAGAACATAGCTATTGTAGGGCTATTGACTGCTATGGGCCATCACAACTACTCAATGAAACTTCAAGTGAAATCTCAGCTCCATGAGAATTCGCTTATTGAATCAGACCGAAATTTCACCTGGTTCAGAATCAAGCTTCTCCTTCAGGAAACCCATGAGCCACCATGAAGAATTTCTTTCTCTTTTTTTGGCACTACTTCCATGGAATACATTCAAGGCTGAGTTCCTGAGAGTCCTTGGCCTCTCTGACATTTTTTCCACCTTCGAAGGCATGGGAATGCCATTGTGATGATGTCGCACCAAGTCCACATGGAGAGGTGAGCTCACTGAGGTGACTCAACGGCTACGAATTTTGCAACAGGAACCTTGCGAGGAAAGGGCTCTCGGAGGTCAGGAGCCAGCAGCAGTTTAAGGTGGGTTGGAAGCCACCCTGATTCTTGGCTCATGCGCAAAGCCGGTGGCCATCTGGGGCAGTGGAAAGTGGCCTGCAGCGCATAGGCAGAGGTGATGAGAAGAGCAAGAGTCTTGAAGGTGGGAGCAACAAATTCTTAAGGAGGTCTAAACAATGGGGTGGCTGTTCTCTGAGTCCACCCGCAACATGCTTTGCATCCAGTGCCGGATTTACATATAAGCTCATGGGTGGTGCTGTGGGTTAAACCACAGAGCCTGGGACTTGCCGATCAGAAGATCGGTGGTTCAAATCCCCGCGACAGGGTGAGCTCCTGTTGCTCAGTCCCTGCTCCTGCCAACCTAGCAATTCGAAAGCATGTCAAAATGGCCTTGTTTGCATCCTGCCCACAGAACAAAAAAAATGTAAATGAGATGGGAGAGTAAGAGAGCACCACATTGAATCTTTGATTTGCTTTGGAGCCGAGGTTTTAGACCTCAGAAGGTGGTGGATGATTGGAGGTTTTTAAGCAGAGGTTGGGTCTCCACCTGAAAGGATTTCTTCAGTTGCGATTCCTGCATTACAGGGGTTTGGACTAGACCAGGCACCCTCAAACTCGGCCCTCCAGCTGTTTTGGAACTACAACTCCCATCATCCCTAGCTAACAGGACCAGTGGTCAGGGATGATGGGAATTGTAGTCCCAAAACACCTGGAGGGACAAGTTTGGGGGTGCCTGGACGATACGTCACTTGGGATCCCTTCCAACTCTTCATTTCTGTGATTCAAGGCTGTGTTTAATTTTTTCTAATCAGTTCAGTGGTTTTGAATTGATTCAATTGATTCTGGAGATAAAATGCTTGGCTGGTAGGTAGGCAGGAATGGGCATGAAGTTCATCCAGACAAGGTGGCTCCTCTCAGCGGCCTATGCAAGTCCCTCTGCTTCCCTCCAGTCTGGTTCCTAGAAAGTTTTTCTGGCTCTTTGACCCTGGGACTCTTGAGTCAACTAGACTCAGGAATGAACTTCAAGGGCTTGTTAAACCCAACCACAGACCAAGGTGAGCTTGATCCAGACCCCGTCCTTTCTTGGATTTTGTTCAGTGCTAGCAGGTTCATAATTCCCTAGGCAGAAGTCTGAAAGGTGTTCCAGGACATATTCTGAGAGAGGAGATCCTAGCTTCTTTTGGGGGCGGAAAGAAAAAGGAGATGGAGTAGCAACATTTGCAGGCCCTTTAGAGCATGGGTAGGCAAACTAAGGCCCGGGGACCGGATCTGGCCCAATCGCCTTCTAAATCCAGCCTGTGGATGGTCTGGGAATCAGCATGTTTTTACATGAGTAGAAAAAGGGAAAGAACGAAAAACAACACCAAAAAAAGAATAGGGGGAAAGGAAAAAAGGAAAAAAGAAATTGACTTCCGACTAACTCCGTGTGGATCTTTATTCCTCATATCACTGGTTGTCTGTAATTATTAAATTTTTGGAGAATTATTCATACATGGCTTATCTTAGAATAAAAATATCACAGGTAAATAAAATAATTCTCCCCCTCCTAATTTAATCCCTGCAATCCCTAATTTAATCCCTTAGTCTGAGAGGCAGTGACCGTCCCAAAATCACTCAGTGAGATGATGATGATGATTTGAATTTATATACCGCCCTATACCCAGAGGCCTCAGGGCGGTTCACATAAAAAGATCACAATATACAAAATAAAAATTATTATTATTATTCTTTCTTCATCATTTCAGCTTCATGGCTGAGCGGGGATTTGAACCCTGGTTTCCCAGGTCAGCGTTTCCGTGAGCTGCTCTGGTTTGCCAGAAGCGGCTTCATCATGCTGGCCACATGACCCGGAAGCTGTACGCCGGCTTCCTCGGCCAATAAAGCGAGATGAGCGCCGCAACCCCAGAGTCGGTCAGGGGTCCTTTTACCTTTTACCTTCCCAGGTTGCAGTCGAGCATGCTAACTGCTACATCACACAGGCTCTCTGAGTGGATCAGAGGGAACGATGTTAATAAACCCATGCCAAAGTTATGTCGCTTGCCATAGCCTGAGAAGTCTTGGGCAGCCGTGCTGATGAACACACAGAGGATGAGGCTAGCAAGCCCTGGGGTGTGTATGAAGCTAGGAGCTCAGCTCAAACCTTCTGACGCCCTCAGAGTCTGGTCGAAAATCAGGCGTAGCTTCCAAGACTAATAGTTACAAGTTGCTCACATACCGTTTGCTGGGCCGGCTCACTCCATTGGCTGCCGACCACACTGTACATTTTATACAGCTGTGCTCCCGAGGGTCACCAAAGGCTAACAGGTGGTGATGGATGGCGTCTGCCAGATTGCGCATAACCCCTCCGAGGTGAACTCAGCATCCTTTCGGGAGGGGATCTCTGCCACCCTGAGAGTTTAATATCGACGCAAACGGCACTCGAGGGAGACGCATGTTTATGTGCTCTGTCCAAACACCGTGTGAATCTGGGACGCCACCAAGAAGCCCCGGGAGCTGTTCTCCCTGGGTGAATTTCACGCCAAGGAAGCGTTGCATGAAGGCTTTGAGTGGGATTTCAATTGCGCATAAAGGTTTCTGCACAACGAAGCTACAGATTCAGCTCTCGGCCTCAGCTACTGCCATGCTCTCTTTGGAAAATAGCAAGACTTGCCTCAAAGGGTGTTCTGGTGTGCATCCCAGAGGTTTTAAGCTTGTCTGACAAGGCGCCACCCCAGTGATTCGACCACCATATTAGTACCTACAAGGAGCATGGGCCTTTTAGTTGTAGGTCAAGAGCTCATGAATGCCTGTCCTTGAGCTACTCCAGGGCCAGATTTAGGTTTGATGAGGCCCTAAGCTACTGAAGGAAATGGGGCCCTTTATATGTCCAGCTGTCCTTTGTCAACAACAAATTGTCATTGCTTTTTGTGTTGAATATATGCTATACGGTAATTTATGGACCTCATAGGTATCTCAAGCCATTTGCACATAACAAAATATGTATTTTATCAAAGTAATTGTTGAACTGAAATAAAATTAAGAAGTATAATTAATAATTATTGATATACTTTTATTAAGCTCTAACTTAAAATGATTTTTTTATTCATAACGAACTTAATGCAAACACATTGGCATTTGGCAATAGCAAAAGTTCCTTTAGAAATATAAGTTACAAAGACTCATAATCTAGTCTCTAGGAACTTGCTATAATATGAAATAATAATAGATGTAAATATATGATGCACACTACTAATAACTACAAACAGCAGAATGTAGGCACCCTATATATAGAAATGAGCAAACCACTGATATTTGAGGGAGCAGGCTAGCAGGTGGGGCCCATGGCTTACATCACAGGAGCCTACACAACACAAAACACTGTTGCTGTATGCAGGTTTTATTTTATTTGTTTTGTATCTTATATTTTGTAAATGTACATCCGGGGGTTTTCCCCCTTAATTTCTTTTAGAGGGGCCAAGATAGTGGGGCCCTAAGCTATAGCTTGCTTAGCTTATACATAAATCTGGCTCTGAGCTATTCAGTTGCTCCCTCTGCCCCTAATATCATCTCATATCTTAATGATGTCGTTCCACAAATAAGTGAGAAATTATTTCAGAAGATCGTTTCTGTGGATTCTCTTACACACAAGCTAACATAAAAAAATGGCGCAACACAGTATTTCCAAACTTTTTTCTCACTGTCCTCAAACTTTGTTTTAAACTGTCGCTCCCGCCCCTCAGTGCCACCCACTGCTTACTTTATTCAAACCTCTACTTTACTCAAATTTCTGTTGTTTAAAACCACCATTTCCCTCTGTGTCTCTCCATCCCTGCTTTACTCAAACATCTGCTGTTTAAAACATCTACTTTTTTCCTCTCAGTGTTTCTCCCTTCTCAGTCTACTCAAACACCTCCCATTCCTCGGCTGCCTCATGTGAGAGAGACAAAGGATGCAGAGCTCTCAGATATTCCCTTGTGTGAAGGTACTCGCTCAAACCTCTGCGTTGTTTAAAACTGCCATTTTCCTCTCAGTTCAATCACTGCTTTGGTCAAACTTCTGCCATGGTTTTTCGTTCTTTTTTTCAGTTGACAGATTTGTGGCCGCACCGAAACCACGTTCCACTAAAGGTGATGAAGGAAATGCAATTAAAAACCCCACAATCCAGAATAAAGTGCAGGTATCTGCTTTTGCCGCCAGAACTGTTGGTAGCCATCTTTGAATTGAAATTTCGATTCTTCGTTTGTTGCTAATTCTATCAAAATGGGTTCACCCAATTCCAGGAAAAACTCTCCTCTCCAGCACAACCACCGGATCCAGGGGAGACATTGCCTTTTTTAAAAAGTGCTTTATTAAGGTTAAAAAAAAAGTAACAAACATAAGAATTAATAAAGAAAAATAAATGAAACTGTTATATCATATCTCTCTACATTCTTCTTAAATTTCTAACAGCTTCCAGTCACCTCATTGTGTATTTACCATTTAATCTGTCTAGCGCACCATTAATCTTCATTTACCTTTTATTAATTTCGATAAGTGTTATTATGTCTCATCGTTGTTCATCCTAACACAGAAGTCACTCAAGTCTTGCCACTGACGTCATATTGCCGCAATATTCAATAAGGTATTTTTTTTTACATATCCCGTTTCCTAATAAATTCTTGGTCTGTATTACCTCTCAATTTATCTGTCATTCTTGCCAACGCGGCGTGCTCTAACGACTTAGTTTGCCACTCCAGCTTCTCCTTTCTAATTAGTGGTAATTAGTATTCTTCCAGCCACTGTAGCATACAAAAATATTTCTCACATTTTTTTGGTCTATCTGGGCCGAGTGTCCCCTGGAGAAAAGCCTCGATTTTTTTTCTAGAAGGATACCTTAAACATTCTTTTAAGTTCATTGTAAATACAGTGGTACCTCAGGTTACATACACTTCAGGTTACAGACACTTCAGGTTACAGACTCCGCTAACCCAGAAATAGTACCTCAGGTTAAGAACTTTGCTTCAGGATGAGAACAGAAATCGCGCAGCGGCAGTTCGGCAGCAGCGGGAGGCCCCATTAGCTAAAGTGGTGTTTCAGGTTAAGAACAGTTTCAGGTTAAGAACGGACCTCCAGAACGAATTAAGTACGTAACCAGAGGTACCACTGTAACATTCCAAATCCCTTAATTTTGTGACACGTCCGCCACATGTGCTGCATTCAAACTTCCGCTTTGTCAGTGTCCTGCTACAGCACCTGATACTTGTAATGTGATTATGAATAAGATAATAAGTAAAAATAACGACTCTCAGATTACAGAGGACATGCAGTGTGAAGAAACGCAATGTAACCAAGGAAGAGTTTAGGGGGTAGTATGTTCTTTAAATATTTGGACATGAATATATACTGTTACTGTAGAAGTTGTTTATTTTTAGAAAATTAATAAAATATCATATATATATCACATTTGCTCCCCTCCCCTGCCCTGGCTTTATGCAATCCCGGATAGTGATACCGTACTACAGATGTTCCACTGGGGGCCACACAATGACAGCCTTCCATTTTTATGTCTATAGAAAGATATATAACAGCAAGCATGCAAAACAGTTATGGTCGTCTCCCCAGGTAGCCAGCTTAAAACAAATGCTTTTAATATATCTTTTAAATCCACTGGTGACTCTGGAGATCTTACGTAAACAGAAGAAGTGGAAAGTTTGAAAACCTACTTGGCCTTGTTGGAGCAAGGCAGGGTTTACTTAGTTTTTATGTGTTTGAAAACTCTCCTGCTATTCCTCCGGGGTTGGGGGGTTGGGATAGAAGTGGCAACAAAGGAGCTGGGAGGCAGCAACGGATTCCCATTCGGCGAAGGTGCAAGTCTTAACGGATCGTGACCACCAAAGTCAAAAGGAGAGGTATGATTTCATAGATTTCATGGAATCATGGAGTTGGAAGGGACCCCAAAATCATCTAGTCCAGGGGTAGACAACCTAAGGCCCGGGGGCTGGATGCGGCCCAATCGCCTTCTCAATCCGGCCCGCAGACGGTCTGTGAATCAGCGTGTTTTTACATGAGTAGAATGTGTCCTTTTATTTGAAATGCATTTCTGAGTAATTTGATGATGTTGTTTTCAGTGGGTGCTGAAAAGAGTAAGGTGAAGATGCCTGATTGATCTCAATAGGTAGGGAATTCCAATGTGTAAGTGTTGCCACACTAGGAAATCAAGTTCTTGCAAATGCAGAATGAGTATTAGGCAGTACCTGTCAATTCCTCCGATTGAAGTGGTCAAGTGGGCACGTGGGGTAAGGTGATCTTGAAGGTAAACTGGTCCCAGTGTGGTGTAGTGGTTAAGAGCGGTAGTCTCGTAATCTGGGGAACCGGGTTCGCGTCTCCGCTCCTCCACATGCAGCTGCTGGGTGACCTTGGGCCAGTCACACTTCTTTGAAGTCTCTCAGCCCCACTCACCTCACAGAGTGTTTGTTGTGGGGGAGGAAGGGAAAGGAGAATGTTAGCCGCTTTGAGACTCCTTAAAGGGAGTGAAAGGCGGGATATCAAATCCAAACTCTTCTTCTTCTTCTTCTTCTTCCCAAGTTGTTATTGTTCTTTGGCGATCCTTCGTAGCCAAGTAAGATTGTCTTCCATAAAACACTGTTATAACAGTGAGTCCATAAGTGACTGTGGAGGCCAATTCTGGATCCACACGTCCTTACACAGTGGGGACATTGGTTTCCGGGCGGGAGTTGATCATAGTGTGGATTTGCCAAGTGTGCCTTCCTTTCAGCACATTTCTCCCTTGTGTCCTGAGTTTGAGTGACTTCAAAACCCATGACACCTTTGGTAAAAGCTGTTCTCCAACTGGAGCGCTCGCAGGCCAGTGTTTCCCAATTGTTGGTGTTTATACTACACTTTTATATTTGCCTTGAGATAGTCTTTAAACCTCTTTTGCTGACCACCAGCATTACGCTTTCCATTTTTTAATTCAGAATAGAGTAGTTGCTTTGGAAGACGATCATCAGGCATCCAAACAACATGACCAGTCCAACGAAGTTGATGTTGAAGAATCATTACTTCAACACCGGTGATCTGAGGCCAAGTCATTAAGGGCTTTATATAGCAATAGTAACATCTTAAACCTGGCCCGTTAGCAAATCGGCCATCCGTGCAGATCTCTGAATGCAGGCGTTATATGAGGACAAAGCCTCATACCTGTCAGCAATCACACTGCAGTATTTTGCAGTAACTGCAGCTTCGGGGGGAAGCCCCACATAGAACACATAGCAGTACTCCAGTCTTGAAGTAAGGTAGCATAAGGTACTATAAGGTAGCTTCCAATGTTCCTGTGATTTTTCTTCTGGTGCTTCTCCCCACCACCACCAGTCATCAGGTATACTGGGGAAAGGGCCTGGTTTTTTTTGTTTGTTTTGCTGTGGTGCTGAAACATATAAGGTAAAGGTAAAGGGACCCCTGACCATTAGGTCCAGTCGCAGATGACTCTGGGGTTGCGGCGCTCATCTCACTTTATTGGCCAAGGGAGCCGGCGTACAGCTTCCGGGTCATGTGGCCAGCATGACTAAGCCGCTTCTGGCGAACCAGAGCAGCGCACGGAAATACCGTTTACCTTCCCGCCGGAGCGGTACCTATTTATCTACTTGCACTTTGACATGCTTTTGAACTGCTAGGTTGGCAGGAGCAGGGACCGAGCAATGGGAGCTCACCCCATCACGGGGATTCGAACCACCTCCCTTCTCATCGGCAAGTCCTAGGCTCTGTGGTTTAACCCACAGCGCCACCCACGTCCCGAAACATACAATCTAATAATTTAATTCAAATGGGTGCATCACATGAGGAAAAAGGGAGGAGGAGGGAAGAGGAAAAACTAGGGGAAATCAATACTTTAGTTTCATAATGGTAGCCAGGTGGACTACTGTTAAGAGATGGTATGGAGAAGAACTGAGTGCCAGCTGCCCCTATCCAGTTGGATAGAGAGGGCTTCCCAGTTTTACCTTCCCAGTTTTACCTGAGAGAGCAGCCAGGTGCAATGAAGCTTACCTTAAGGGGAAATCCAGGAATCCTAAGTTCTCACATGACTCCAGAAGTGGGAAAAGGAAGTCGCAGATTTCCATTTTTTAAAAAAAATCTGCATTGTATCTGTTTGCCTTGGAAAACAGAAGCCAGGAGAGAGAGACTCGTAATGAGCCGTAAAGCCTTCAAACTGAAATTGATCCAGACTCTTGAATAAGCTGGGAGGGGGGGAAACCAGAAGCAGGAAGAGACACATGACAAGCCCGAGAAAATCCAAACACAACTTGGCCTTTTTTTGGCGTATCGGATTGTTTTCCCCGATTGGATATTTCCACTGGCACGGAAAGCAATTTGCTGGTCTCTCAGGGGATCTACTTTGAAGCAAATGGAGCATTTTAAATGACCTCCTTTGGATCTGACGGAAATTGAGCTCTCCAGACCAAATTCCAGGCCAACCTTATGCCAGTTCCGCTGCCCTCCTCTTGTTCTGGGTCTCCCCCTTTGCCTTCTCCTTGCCCTGCTCAAGGTTCCCCTAGCCAAACAGGTTCCGCTCTTGCACCAAGACCAACACAAACAGTCAAATGCTTTTATTCTCCTTTGACCGTGACGGTGACATTTCCAAATGGGGGAAAAGAAGGAGCAAGATGTGAAACAAGATCAGGTGAGAAGAAGATGGAATTTAGACGCTCCTCCGTTGGCAGATGATGAGAAAAGCAAAATGGTGCTGGTGGTGAAAGGGGGAAAGGGAGGCTGATTGGAAGCAGGAGATGATAATCCAGAAGTAGCCCATTTGCATAGACTCTTGGCAGACACACATCTCCATGCAGTCTTCTCTCTGTGTTCAGATAGGCTGGCTGGATTGACCTTCCTCCTAACAGCTGCCAGGTTGCATCAGTCGGGTGGACCATGGACTGCTCCATCTTTCAGCTGGAGCCAGCTCAGGGCCAAGAAGAAGTTCAGGAGGAGGACATTTCCAGGACACCCAAGGTTACGCAAATGCTCCAGTCTGGAACCAGTACAGGAAAGACACAAAATGTTGTCGTAAGAACGTAAGAAGATTCTGCTGGATCAAGCCAATGGCTCATCTCATCCAGCATTCTGCCTTCACAGCGGCCAAGCAGATGCCTCTTCTGGGAAACCTGCGAGCAGGATCTGACCACAAGAACAACTTTCCCTTCCAGTGGTTTCCAGCAACTGGTATTCAGAAGCACTGCTGCCTCCAGTTGTGGAGCCAGAGTCGAACCATCCTGGATAGTATCCCTCTCCTCCATGAATTTATCTAACCCCTTTTAAAGCCATTAATAATAATAATAATAATAATAATAATAATAATAATATATTATTTGTACCCCGCCCATCTGGCTGGGGTTCCCCAGTCACTCTGGGCGGCTTCCATAGAAACCAAAAATA